CTGGGCCCGTTACTTTTCAGTATTTATGTGAATGATTTGCCGTCAGTCGCCAAAAATTGTTTGTCAGAATCGTATGTTGATGACACCAAACTCCTTCTGTCCTTCCGAATCAATGACTCGAACATTGCGCTGACTGATCTAAACGAGGATTTGATTAGAATGCGAAACTGGTGTTTTGATAACCTGCTCTTGCTGAATCCAGACAAAACTAAATTGATGGTCTGCGAAAGCCGCCAAATGCTCGCGAAGTTACCTGATTTTAGACTCTCGCTACTTGGTAAGAAACTAACACCTGCTTCATCAGTGAAAGATCTCGGAGTTAAGTTCGATCCAATCCTCTCCTTCGACAATCATATCCTTTCTACTGTTTCATCCTGCAAGTCAAGTCTCTGCCAGATAAATCGCGCTAAGCATGTCTTCCCTAAAAACCTTTTAATAACTGTCATCAACGCCTTAGTATTTAGAAAACTGTACTATTGTTCCTCGCTTTGGTCAAATACTTCCTGCAGCAACCTATCCCGACTTCAAGGAGTCCAGAACTTCGCAGCACGAGTAGTGAGCAACAGAAGGAAATTTGACCACATCACCCCGATACTTAAGGAACTGCGCTGGTTTCCCGTGAAGTCACATCTGTACAGTCGCGACGCTTTATTAGCTTTCAAATGCATGAATGATTGCGCACCTGCCTACTTATCGTCTCAGTTCAAAACGAGAGGTGAAGTGAGTGGTCGCGATACTAGAAATACTAAACAGCTGGACGTTCCGTTATATAGATCAACTGCAGACAAAGAACATTCCATTACAGAACTGTCATTCTTTGGAACAACATTAACCCTGACTTAAAACTTTGCAAATCTATTCCAAGTAGCCAAGTATTCCAAGTAGTATTCCATAGTTAGCCTAAGGGCATGTTTTCCTGTTGTCGTTGTTATTGTCGTTGATGTTGTTGTTGTTGTTGTTTTTGCTGTCGTTGTTGATGATGTTGATCTACGTTGTATGCTGCTGTTGTTAATCTTGTTGTCAAGAATTTGATGTTGTGTTTGTGTATAAAGTAATTGCGTGATCTTCTTATATGAATTTAGGATCTGATGTATAATTATAGTAATTATTTGATATGTATATATATTTTTGTCACTGAAAAGCCCCTTTAGGGAAGTGTCAATAAAGTCAATCAATCAATCAATCAATAAAGATTCAATCTTAGGATTCAATGATTCAATCTTAAGATTCAATGATTCACCCTATGACTCAATGATTCAATCTTATGATTCAATGATTAAATCTATGATTCATTGATTCAATCTTATGATTCAATGATTCAATCTTAGGATTCAATTATTCAGTCTTATGATTCAATGATTTAATTTTAGGATTCAATTATTCAATCTTATGATTCGATGATTCAATCTTAGGATTCAAATGATTCAATCTAGAATTCAATGATTCAACCTATGATTCAATTATTCGCTCGATGATTCAGTGATTCAATCTTACGATTCAATGATTCAATCTTAGGATTCAATCATTGAATCATAGAGTGAACCATTGAATCCTATGATTGAATCATTGAGTCACAGATTGAATCATTGAATCCTAAGACTGAATCATTGAATGATAAGATTGAATCGTTTAATCATAAGATTGAATCATTGAATCCTAAGATTGAATCATTGAATCATAGATTTATTTATTGAATCCTAGATTGAATCATTTGAATCCTAAGATTGAATCATCGGATCATAAGATTGAGTCATTGAATCCTAAGATTGAATAATTGAATCCTAGATTGAAGCATTGAATAATAATTTTGAATCATTGAATCAGAAGATTGAATCATTGAATCATAATATTTAATCATTGAATCATAGATTGAATCATTGAATCAAAGAATGAATCATTGAATCATAGAGTGAATCATTGAATCATAAGATTGAATCATTGAATCATAGATTGAATCATTGAATCATACGATTGAATCACTGAATCCTAGATTGAATAATTTGAATCCTAAGATTGAATCATCGAATCCTAAGATTGAATCATTGAATCATAGAGCTTATGGGGCTCGGCTCCGAGACATTTGAACGGCTCCGGGCTTCTGGTGCTTGGCTCCGAGGCATTCGAGCAGGCTACGAGCCTGTGGAGCTCGAGTACGAACCATTCGAACTCGGCTCCGAACCATTCGAGCCGTCTCCTAGCCTAAGTTATGTTGAACATATCAATATATCGAGAAGATTATAGAGGATTATTATTCCACCATGTGGGACATTCTAACACATTCTCTATTTCCAATTTATGTACGTTACAATTGGCTCACTTTACAATTTTACAAAATTTCATTTTACACTGCAAACTGCATTTTTGCCTAATAGTTATACCGCAAAGCCACGCGCCTGGTTTTAAGGCATACACCTGCGTAATAAATAATCTCTATCTATCCATTGGAATACACTTAGTTATATAAATTTTTGTTCGCCAAATCCCTTCACTATCTCCTTGTCGCCTAATGACTTAGGAAATAGCAACGCATAACGACACAAAATTTGCAAAGTTTAAAACATGTTTATTGCGACAAACCAAAATATATTCCTATGAAACCCGAGCAAGTAGCAAAGTTATCTCCTAAAGATAGACAAGAATACGAGAACTCTCTAAAAATAAAATAAGAACACCCAAACGTTATCCTCTTAGAAGTAGACAGTACTATATTTTGTAAAACGTTTTGAAGAAATAAATGTATTTTAAAACTGAAATATTGTGCTAGCATTTGCCTGAAAAGCCCGCTCTTTCCGCCCGCGCGATTTGCGTAACCCGCTGGCTTGATTAATGTGTAAATATGTTGTACATTAATATATGTATGCACCCAAGCCTCGAAAAATATATTACAATTGTTCTAAACGTTTTTTCCTTCAAGTATTCTTGATAGGCTTTCTTATGATCTGACTCTGTCACCTTAACAGTATATATGTATGTAGGAGGTTTGCTAAATAATGTTGGACAACATGCAAATATTGACAATAACAACGACTTTGGCAACCATGTTAACCCGGGATTAGCAACTGTTTAGTTCTGTTTAAAATAAGTCTCGATCTTTGTTACGAATAGATTCCTGGCTATAATTTTGTAAACATACGAAAAATCCTTCAAAATACATGTAGAAATTTATCCCTTGTAAGCAAAGAATCGGCTATATCTCTGCTACATATTAATTTTGATAACAATTTTGCCATGTGAGGGACTCGAACTATTCATAGTAAGCCAATCTTAATCCCCCTTTTGCATCACACGCGTGAAGGGAAGCTAACAATGTCTAGTCAGCGAGTTTTGCCCGATTTCCCCTGATCTTGCTCGCGTGACGTCATTGCATATATTAAGTGAACACACCCCACATGAGATGCACCACCTCATTCTATGCTAATGATAATGCGCCACCCTGAATTTTTAATAATGCGCCGCCCTGAATTTTTAATGACGCGCCGCCCTGAATTTTTAATGAAGCGCCGCCCCTGCGCTGCCCTGCGCCGACCTGAAAATACGGCCCCAAACCCACCTACATCACTACTTGTGTTGGCCAGAATATAGATGTATTTTCGTTTCGAAATTTAATCTGAAGGGGATGAAGCCTTAAATCCTTTAACACTAAAGGCCACATACGCCTTTTCGCCGTTCCTGGCTAAAGCCGTTTTGCAAAGTGGAACAAACACTATATGTATGGTAAAACCATTGCCTCGTCCCAATGGGAATACGTTGCAAGCGTCATGGTGTTTTGGCTCTATTGTGTTTGCCCCATGTTTCCAAATACGGCTACGTTTACACTGTAGTGGATAACCTTTCCGTAGCAAGTCTACCACTGACCTATTCGTACAATTAGGAAAACGCTAATTGCAGAAGAATTATTCCAACGGAATGATCTTGTTTCGCTCAGCTTCTGAAAGTTTTACATTCCGAATTATCGGACAGGTTCTTTTTCGTGCAGCTACGGACGGTCATCCGGTATATATATATATATATATATATATATATATATATATATATATATATATATATATATATATATATATATATATATATATATATATATATATATATATATATATATATATATATATATATATATATATATATATATATATATACACACATATATATATATATATATATATATATATATATATATATATATATATATATATATATATATATATATATATATATATATATATATATATATATATATATAGTTTTTGGTTTTTTGAGGTAAAACGAAAAACTATATTACGCTCTATCTATATGGTATTGAGCACTGTTTGTGTTTCGTAAACCAAAATCTTAAGCTATATATATATATATATATATATGTATATATATATAGTGTAATCGAAGCTAGTACGTGAACTTAGACCGGTTTTATACGTCGAATTTTGGACGCGCCGAATGCAATTAAGACAATATATAATGAGATAATAAACCTCATTAAGCTTCATTATCTATTGTTTGAATTGCATTCGACGCGACCGACATTCGATGTAGAAAACAGGCTTAACACTATATTCACACAACTCCCCAGTTGTTTGAAAACGACGCGGAAAGTCACAATTAGCCGCTGCGTTCACATTTTTGCGAAATTGTTTCATTAAATACGTCATTTTGCTGTTGCAATTTAAGCACGCTTTCTAAACGGAGGAAGAAGAAAACAGAGAACCTGCATGGTGGCTTCGTGTGAACAGCGGCACCGTCTTTATCTTGCTCCTCTTTAACATTTTTTATTAGTTTTTCCCTTTAGCATATTTTTACTATATGTTTTTATTGGGTTTTTCTATTTGAACTTGTTTTGCGCACCTGTACCACAACTCTAACCGCTTAGTGTAAACAGACGTAAAACGTGATCTAGAACCTGCGCAATATTAAGGTCTATACGGCAAGACTAAAGCGAGCAACCCAACGACAAATATTCATGGCAAATTCCGACCTGCCCCTTTCACTTATTCTTCTCAAATAATACTTACAATATCAGGTCGCTTACATGTACAATGGCACATTTATATACTTGTAATAATTATACTCTACCAATTTTTATGCAGTTGCTTTAAGATTAAACAATTACTTCATTATTATTATTACTTACTACATACGACCCGATTTAGATCGCGAACGTTTCAAGCGCGGAACCTAATCAAATTAAAAAAGACACAAATTTATCGTTCGTTTACATATAATTGTACCGTTCAGAAATACAAGTACACGTGCACTATTTCAAACACTTCAGTACAAAAATGTTTATAAAAGGGAAGTGAAGTCACAATAGAGGGAAGTGAAGTCACTCAACCAAAACCTTCATCTAATCAGTCCGCAAACGATAAGCATCTTAACACCGAAGCTAGTACTGGGAAAAATCGTAAAAAGAAGGGAAAGAAATCTAAGTCCAAACCTCCAACACAAAATTCCAGCCAACAAACTGCGGATGTAGATACTTCTGGTGGTATTGTGAACACCTCTAGTTCTAAGTCAACGGGGCAAGGCAAGAAAACAGTTATTATTGCAGGGGACTCAATTGTTAAAAATACTATTGGTCTGAAAATGAGTGCTGACGATCCTAATCACCATTTTATTGTAAAGCCGTTCCCTGGAGCAACAGTCTCAGATATGAAGGATTTTGTCAAGCCATTGACAAGAAGGACACCGGACAAGATGATCTTACACGTCGGTATAAATAACCTGAGAAGTCATTCTACGCCGAAAATAATAGCAGACTCCATTGTCAACATTGTAACACAAATAAAAGAAGATTCACCAGGTACAGCCGTTGGCATTTCAGCTATTCTGGTAAGAAATGACAATAATGACCTAGCTGCTAAAGCTATTCAAACTAATAATATTCTTAAAAGCTATTGTAGTCGCAATAGAATCCCCTTTTTAAGTAATTCAAATATGAATGCAAGTCACTTAAATATGAGGGGTTTTTATTTAAATAGACAAGGTAGTTTAGCTTTACAACAAAACTTACTAGGTTTTGCAAAAACTATTTCAGATTGACTTTATCCTACTCAGTCCGTTATTCCTAACTCGCGGGGTTTTAAGCTCGCGGCACTTAATGTGAGAAGCCTAGTAAATCATATTGATGGGCTGCGAGTTTTGCTTGCTACTAGCCCGATCGATGTCCTAACCATAAATGAGACATGGCTTAATTCTACAATAAGCGATAACGATGTATATATACCTGGATACGAAATCATACGTCGTGACAGGGCATTTAGAAGTGCAGATGGAAAAACGTATGGAGGTGTTTGTTTTTATGTACGCTCCAGCGTAAATTTCATACAGGGTAAAGACATGTCTATTGATAATTTAGAAAATCTATGTATTCAAATTCAAAAACCAAATTCTAAGCCATTTCTCGTTGCGACATGGTACAGGCCACCAAATTCGAATGTTGATAAATTTAATTATTTTGAGACATTTATTGACATGCTTGATGCTGAAAATGTCGAGTACTATTTATTGGGTGACCTAAATTGTGATCTCGGGTCGCCTGATTTAGAGAGTAATTCGAGATCATTAATAGGCATCACTGAGCTCTATGGTTTACATCAATTGATAAGTGAACCGACTCGAATTACTGAAACTTCCTCAACTATGATTGATCATATATTCACCAAAACACCAGATAAAATTGTTTGCTCCGGTGTTTCTCATGTCGGTATTAGTGATCACAGCTTAATTTATGCATTTCGTAAGCTTTCAACCGGGCTACACAATAAAGGCCATTCTACAGTAAATTATCGAAAATTTAAAAATTTTAACTCTGAAAGTTTTCGAAGTGATATTTTTTCACAGAATTGGGACGTCATAAGGGCGTATAATAATCCGAATGATATGTGGCGTGTGTGGAAAACGACCTTTAATAACGTAGTGGAAATGCATGCTCCTTTACGGACAAGGCGGGTAAGACTTTCAAAGTCGCCCTGGATCACGCCTGAGTTAAAAAGA